CTGAATCCACGCGTTTAATGTATCAAGCTATCTATATTCCCTACATTTGAAGCAAATATACCTGTCTGACTCAGGATATTAATTGATATCACAAGCTCGCAGGATTCCTGAATTTTTTCGTGGGACCTATTTGCGTTGAGCAGCACAGTGGCTTAAAATTCGCATGTGCTCCAACAATTAAGAAAACAATGTGGCAACGAAATTCGCTCTCCGACCGCAGACGGCATACTCACGACCCCGGTCGGGCAGCCCACTGGGTGCAGCGTCGGTCGCCGCACGCCGAGTGTCTCCGCCGCGCCAGGCTCGTCGCGCCGCCGGCGGGTCTGGCCGTGGCACGTGCCGGTCCCACGACACCCGCTGTCACGGTGAGAGGAGCCGTAGCCGTCGCGCCCGGAGATTGACGGCTCCCTCAGCCGCTGTTCAGCAGAGCGAACTGATCGATCGTAGATTTAGACCGGCGGCTTAGGGTCAGAGACCGTACTAAATGCTTTTGAAGAGTCGCGGTTAGCTAGAAGCCCGCGGTCTCTGCAGGTTGTGGTCTTAGCTGGACACCACAGAAGTCTGTCCCCTAACCACAAACCACCTCAGAAATCTGTTCTCTGACACGGCACTACCGCAGCAATCTGTCCTCTTACCACACACCACCGCAGCAATCTGCCCGCTGACCCTGCACCACCGCAGCAACGTGTCCTCTTACCACACACCACCGCAGCAATCTGTCCTCTGAATCCGCAGTAACCTGTCCTCTATCCCCGCACCACCGCAGACTTCGATGGCTTCCCATTCCTGCAGCAGTCTGTCCTCTAATCACAAGCCGCGTATATCGCCGAGATGAGGCCGGCCCTCTCGCCATGAACGAACAACCCCCCCCCCCCTCCCCTTTGTCGCAGCAGCATCTGGACTTCTCTCCGTCTCGTCTGCCACCCATCACCCCCAGAGTCCCGGACCTCACCTCGAGCGGACGTCTGCAGGCTCCGGCGGCGGCAGCTCCGCCGCGTGCCCCTGCCGCTGCCCGCGGCCCAGGGGCCGGTGCCGGAGCCGCTGCCGGTCCGGTGGCAGTGCGCGGCCGTGCGGAGGCAGCCGGCCGGCGGGCGCGGGCGCCAACGGACCCTCCGCCCGTAATGACGGCCCTTGCACCGCCGGCTGTGTAATCAAGCCGGCGAGCCGGCCGTGACCGAATCGACGGCCAATGGTGACCACGAGAGGTGCTGACGTCACGCAAAGGTGTACTCTGATCGTTTGACACTCTACGCAGCATCAGTTGACCCTACACAAAACATTATAAGCCATGACGGCTAGATGAGCGGGTTTAATGTGCTGGATTACGAGTAAGCTGCAGTGGTCAGTGAACAAACGATAAAACCACTCAGGACTGAAGACGTAGGAACTCATTTCCTTTCCTAAATGATTGACTTCAAGCTGTGTCAGGCTCATGCTCAATCACATATCACCCACGCATTTCAGAACCCCATGGCGTGTGCTTACGGTTTTCCTGTCAACTGGCAGGCCGTCACCGAAATAACGATAACGACATAAGCGGTGCAATTATCATCATCATCATTATGACAATATTCTGAGACATTAAGGACGCCAACATCGTTCTAATGCTTCAGCCGTTACCAGACGTGCCCCCCTCCATCCCACACACCAGACGTGCCCCCCCCCATCCCACACACATACACTCTCAAACAGAGGGCCAAGCGTTTAACGGACCTGCATTGCAATTAAGAATGACACGAATCTCCGACCATTGGGAACACAGTTAGCGGGATCTTCGTTGGCTAATGCTTTCAGGGAGCGAGGGTGGAGGCTATTCTGTTCTGTTTCTGTGGCACCACAGGCAATGTTCAATATGAGTGTTGCTCTGGAGCTCCCTCGCCCATCACCCCCCCCCCCCCCCCCACACTCCCTTCAGGCGCCGCTTTTGCATTCTGCGGCTGCACGTGGTCGGCAGGTGCACTATTTTGACCAAACCATTTCACGTGCTTTAATATGTAACGTTGAGATACCTGCAACAATATTTATATTTGCTTCCGCCAGTTAATTAGGGATTATAGGCAGATGACTTTTTAAGGCGTCCCTTGACAACTCTGCCACGTAACTCGGGTGCTCGCAGCTGACGTCAAAAACTCCATCAGGGCACGCCAGCCGATCGCTCTCCTTAAGCCCTATCGATTAAAGCGTGGACATGATCCCTCCACGGTCAGGATAACAGGATTTTTCGGTGTCCATATCCATGTTAGGCACAGTTTGATATCTGTGCCAGAGAAGTATGTGATTGCGTGTGCTTGTACGTGTGCCGGTCATCATCTGCGTCTGTGGTTGTCGATCATTTCCGGGCATTTTCGCTGTCGCGAGCTGGGACCTCACAAACATGATACCTGTTTCAATTTTAGCCACGTGAACATCCCGATTGCCTATCTATTAGTACCAGTAATAACGGTGTCAGTAAAAATAACAACCCGACCTTTTAATACCAGAGTCTATATGATGCAGCATGAGCATTTTCACGTTGCATTGCATCACATTAGGCTGTGGATATATGGTTGTGAGATAGGAGGTCTTATTATGACAATCATCGACCTCCAATAGACCAGGAGCTACTGGTTTAGCGATATCATTAATGAAGTATTAGCTATACTCATGAGCATTAGCACAGCTTAAAGCGTGCCATTTTGTTATTCTAACTAATGTTTCCTTGATGACGTCACTTAGGCAGTATCTTCTCGTCTATTTTAGAGCGATTTTTGCCAGGATAATATATCCCAGCTCAGAATACCCAGCAAACAAGGCTCAATGCGTTCTTCCTTTTATCAAATATTGTTTTTATCGCATTGCATCTATAGGACATTGACCATGCTTGATGCGTTTGGGTCTGGGCTACAGGCTGTGTGCTCACGGTACGCAACATTGTAAGTTCACGACGAGCCATTTCAGCTCACTCGAGGACTCATACCAGTTGGCTCATAACGTTTGAAATATTAAACTTTATTTATGTCCACAGACGCAACTTTGTGGCTTTGGGATGAATTCCACAAAACTGATGGAACCGATATCGCCGTCATCAATTGAGACCGATATTTCCTCAGAATTAAGTGTCTTCAAACCACATCTGGATGGAGGGGTACTTCCACACGCCCGCCCAGAAACACTTGCTCCGTAGACTAGTAAGAATATCTATATATATATATATATATATATATATATATATATATATATATATATATATATATATACATGCAGCGAAGTTAGGGAGCGGGTTTCCCTTGGGACATGTTTTGATACAAATGACGGTATGTCTCACATAGACTTGCTTTTATGTTTTGCTTTTCACACATGGTTCAGTGACTCTTTTCATGCACTATTTAATTCTCCTGAGGATTCACTAAAACGGCAATTCACCAGAATGACATCCAATTTATACAGAACATACGGGTTATAGTATTGTTTCATGCATCATCTTGCCGCCATCATTCCAACACCCAGCCTGTAGGGAAGCATTTGAGGGAGACACACTGGAGCTCCATACCACCCGTGCCAGAGTTTTCAAAGTATGCACCATGCCTGTGAGCAGTTATGACCGCATACGTTCTGCTGATTCGTGGGTAGAAAAAGGCGCCGCTAGTGGAAGACCGTCGGTATCGTCATGGTACGCTTTAACTTTATGAGACACATAGGTTCTCAATGCCCCCTATCAAAATTAACGTGGCGCGCTCGCAGCAGACCCAAGGTAGCGCACCACGGGAAAAACAACACTTGACTTACATTACGTTGCTATGGTCTAGCTGGTTGAACGTCCGCTGCGCCATCTGGTGGACCGACCGTGATACTATCAGGCGGTCGTCCGGCGCAAACGGTACGTCAGACGTCAATGACATACATTGGAGATGAACTTTTTCTGTACTATATCCATCGTGCATCATTTCTGCCGTTTAAACATAAGCTGCATATGGACAAATGGAGCCTCTCGCCAAAACTATTTTGGCGATTTCCATGGGTATTGATAATAATGCATCATAAAGCATATGGATTCTATGCATATATATTGAAACCAGGTACGCCTTTTGCATCCAATGACTAGTCTGTCATGCATGACTGGTACCAGACAGGCACCAGCCCTAATCTTTAGCAGACACTACCTACATTGTATGCATCTGCACTAAACACTAAGCAGGCTCGCTGGGGACGCGGGGGGAGTGACTTGGTATAGTTATTTATCACCTTTTTAAATGCTAATTGCTGCTATGAGGATTTTCTGGAACAATGATCCAAGAATTGTATTACTCAGCAAATTTGGCGCACCGTCTGTTGCTCCTGGCACTAAGTATCAAGTTCAGGTAGTGCATCGCTTGGTCTATTACTGCGTCCTCTCCTCGCTTCTTTTAATTCCAAATTTTAATGACAAGTGTAATGCAGACATTTTCAGAGATTCGTTTGGATGTTACTATCAGGGTCGGCTAAATTTCGGCCAATGTCGTGCACGCTCGGGTGGGGGCACTCCCCGCTTAGACCCAGGTGTTCCGTTTTCCATTACAGATGGCTCCCAACAGAAAGTTAGAAATACATTTGTGATTCGTACCCACCAAGCTCATCTCCCTTTAAAAATCCGGGCCGCAACATCGTTTTTGATTTCGATAAACACTTCATGCAGTGGGTAATTGTGTGTTTTGCTCATGAGCCTATGTCTTGCCAATACAAAAAGATGTCATGAAGAAAGACTGGGCTCGCCATTCACAAATTTGTCTTGGAATCAGCATCCCTGGCAACACCCCTGTTTGTTTTTAATGGGCATTACTGGCAGAAAAGGTTTTTGTAGAAATATTTTCTTTTTTGCATTTCAAGCTGCTTTTAAGTCTCTCAGGGGCCCAAAGCACAAACAATGGTTGGTATGCATGACATGCAGCATTTCTAGATGAAGTGTTGCAATAGTCTTCTTCTTCACTTAAGGACCCTGTTTGCGGCAATTAGAGGCAATCATGGCGAAAATGTTGACACTCGTAGTCTGCCTTTGGCGCGATCGTGTATTTGTCAAGAAGTGGGCGTGATACGCTATTGTGAGGGGGGATCATCGCTAGGCATTTATGTTTCCGGAAGACTGGAGCTGTAGCATTGTCTGCCGAATTCGGTGAAATACCAAACTAGTGACTTAATATACATACATTTCATTCTTGATAGAAAGCAGCTTGTGTACGGGAATGTGATAGGGGATGTTCAGTGTCTGTGAAAACGGTGTTGATTTTGGCAAGTCATCAAGTGATGGTCTGATGGCAAGTGGAAACACTGCAAATTTTTCTGCTGATGAGATTCTGTCTGTTGTTTGGGGTCGCCAAGAAATCAACGAATCTGTATTCAACCGCTGGAATCAGGGTAAGTACACAATTAACAAACTGTTAGTTACTGTCATTGCCATATCGTCACCAGTGATACTTTGCGCTTTCACTTGTGGCTTTGTCTAATTGGAAAAAGCAAGAATTGGCAGTGCATTTTGTGTAAACAAGCAGTGCTGAGAGATTCTGATTTAATAATGATCATGAAAAGACAAGAAAAAAGAGAAAGCAGTGACCTCAGTGGTGACCAGTCTGCAAAAAATATATCTGTTGTACAAAATAACAAGGTGACATTGATGCTTTGAAGGTGATACTTGTGTGCACCAAACTCAGGTCAGGCTAAAATGTGTGGAAATTGTTGCATCTCAAACATGTTTTTGTGTATTTTCTTGTTAATTCTCAACATAATTTTTTAACAACCTAAACTCATGAATTCTTAATGTGCCATAATCTGTGACTTCTCTGAGCTGATCTCAGGCCACTTAGATTTACTGGTCAGGGGTACATTATTGCTATAGGGTGGCTGCTGTTCCATATGTATGCAGCATGATGCCTATATTTTGGTGTGGAGGTGCCATTAAATAGGTATGTAGACATGGTGTAAGCTGAAATTGGCACAAATTGCACTGTGCTTGTAATGTGACACTGTTTGCTTATCTCATAAAATGTCCAGCCTGAATTGAAAGCATTTTGTTGTGTTTTTATTGCAACTATATCAAATTTCCAGTTACAGTGCCTTGATAAGAAATGGTTTGCTGGAATTCAGACATTTACCTGCCTGTTCAAGCTTCCCAGGAGGCAGATAATTGTGGAAGTGTAATCATGGTTGGCATAAATATTTTTATTAGAGCATGCATGCTCCTTAACCATGTCAAGGTTTTCTTGTAATAAATAGGTTGAAATGGATGCATTAATACCAGCATCTTGCCTTGTTCTGTTAAGATATAATGCTATGTTGTTTTCAGGTTTTGTGTTCAGTGCTGACGAGCCCTGTGCACTTGTGCAGTATGAAGGTGGACCTTGCAGTGTCATTGCCCCTGTGCAAGCTCACATTTTCAAGAACATGTATGAAAAATACCCAGACTCATGGGAAAAGGTAAGCCAATTACTGTCATATGCTGTATACAATGCAACTTAGAACCATTTACTGTAAAAGGTTACAAGGAAGTAGCACTTACACCATTTTGTGTGCTCTCAGATGCCTGTGTTTATTATTTAAAGGTGGCATATATATTGGATGTTGTTGGCCTTTTGAGTCACTGACACAGAAGGACAGTGTCCATTTAAGATGACCAGATGACACAATATAGTTTTAAGTGATATCTGAGTAGACAACATTAACCTTGAGTCACCAAGTTTGCTCACAGAGAAGTTCTTAAAGCCGTAACATATTCCACACATTTTGTGCTGCTCTGAGGTTGTGAGACAGATGTTAGCCTGCTTCCACCCTGCCATCCAACTATGCCCTGCTGGGCTGCATGTCGTCTTGGTGTATATTGTTACATGTAGATTGTGTCTCTTTCGAAAGCAAATGCAAAGCACCAGTAGCAGCAGCAGCCAAGAGAATAATGGTGCATCACATGTGTCATCCTGCCCCACCCCTAACCAGCACACACACTCTGCCACCGCGCCCGCCAGCTGACGGCGCGGGAGGCGAACGAGCTGCTGGCCTCGTCGCTGTCGGAGATCCTGGGTCGGTGCGCCGGCGGCGCCGCGTCTGTCCGGCTGGTGACGCCTGAGGCGGCCGGCGAGCCCGGCCCGGCCGCCGAGCTGCCCTCCAGCAAGCGCCGCCGCGTGGCGCCGGCTGGCTTCCACGCCGCCCTCCGGTGAGGCGGCGCCCGGGGAGTCAGGTGACCACTGACGGGATGAGGCAGACCATCCGTGCAATGTGTGGCGATCTGGCGATCTTGTCATGGGGACCATAATGTCCAGTGTCACTTTGTAGTTTTCACCAATGCATTGGACTACACTCATAATGTGGACTGCTCCACGCTGCCGAAGACTGTCATCGTGTCGGTGTTCTTGTAAACAACTGCTGCTGTTGACACCAGCATGGTGGTTCATGTCACTCTCGCTTCTGTTTTTTCCAGTATGGTCGAGGTATCTTCCGCCCAAGAATTGGAGGACTACTTCCGGAAGAACCTATCGTCGTTTCGGGCCGACAGCGGCGTGCTGGCCTTTCTGTACTCCCTCATCCAGACCAAGGTAAGGACTCGTGAGTGTTGCGGAGCTCGTGCCGTCGTCGCGGTAGCGACCTCGGTGATCGCCGCCACCATCCATCGGCTTCTGCCGGTGCTCGTTTGGTGTTGGTCGGACGGCGGTTCGCTTATCTGTTTTCGCTGCTGTTTCTTGCAGCCGAACGTTTTTGCTGTTGTTTCATGGTGTGAACGTTTGTGACAGGCGCGTTTTGTGCACGTTCCATGAGTGATGCATGCATGTTACGCTTTTTTGTAAGGTCCGCCTGATTAGGCAACTGGCAAGGTTACACAACCGAAACAGGTTGAATCCAGTGAATGTTGTCCCATGTGAGGGACCTTGCCTCAACGTCACATTGTGTTAATGTCAGTCGGCGTGCTGCACCACTGCGACACGATGTGCCGCTGTCCAGGCTGTACGCCTGAGATGGGCGCTTCTGCCGGTGCGTCTGCGTCACACGAGGCGGTACTGCTGCCGCAGGGCGTCCAGGCGGTCCAGGCTGAGATGGGCGACTCTGAGGAGCCGCTGGTGCATGCCGTGCACGGCCACGGCTCGCAGAGCCTCACCAACCTGCTCATCACTGGCCGCGCCGTGGCGCACGTCTGGGACAACGTCAAAAGCGTGGGCGGCATCGGTGGGTCCGCATCACGACCCGCCGCGCGGCGCGCAGACACGTCCGGGGAGGGCGTGACCTGGGAGTACGGTTGCGATGCTCGGCTATCGTCCTGGCCCTGGTGATGCTGGTCCCAGGTTCTCGACCGCCGTTCTGATAAATTCACGACCCTCAGTCAGGTCGCACGTGCGGAGGAGCCACTGGAGGTTACAATTTTGAGGTTACACTGCAATCGCCGAGCAGTGTAACGTCCAAATTGTCTGTATTCCACGACCGTGTCTCATCAGCTGGTTTAATGCGCACGTGCCTTTCCAGCGCTGGAGGGCGTGCTGTCGCAGCCCGGCGTGGGGTTCCTCACGCTGCTGGAGCGGCTTCACTACTGCACCGTCGGATGGAACCTCAAGAATCCCCGCCACCCAGTCTGGGTGCTGGCGTCGGAAACGCACCTCACAGGTACGTGCGAGCGGGGATCGTCCGCCGGAGAGTCTGGTCTGAGCCTCGAACGTGGAGCCTTTGCCTTAACACCCGAGAAACGAGAGGTGCTGTCTCTTCGGAGACAGCTTGGCACCGTTCTTAGTCCAGCCTCTGGTAATGTGGGCCATGCTTCACGGCTACGGGACCAAACATCCAGTGTGCACATTTTCCCAGGAGTTAAAATTCGAAAAAAAACGCCAACATTGTGTGCGTGTGATGGAACATATCTCTGTCAAGAACTGGGCCATTGTGCAACATAATCAAGGATGGGTAGTCACTTCATTGTGATACTAGCCATTGCAGAATGTAAGCTTGTTTGTCTGCCCCCCACTTCAGTATTATTTGCACCGGACGACCGCTTGACGGCGCCACCGTCGGCCCGCCAGCTGGCGCAGCGGGCGTTCGACCGGCTGGACCGTGAGCAGAGCGGCTTCATTCCTACCTCGGAGCTGTCCTCACTGATGGCCGCCTGCGACCTTGTCACCGTGGACGAATAGTGAGCAGCCTCCGTTGGTCATCCATCAGTGCACTCTTGGTCTTACTCTCCGCTGCGGGTCGGAGGTCGCCGAAGTCAGGAGATGTTTTTTGTGGGCATCCCATGTAATCGACGTGGCCGCGTCGATAGAGCCGGCATGCCTGCTGTCATCACCGCCAGTTTACTTGTCGTTACCACCACTGTCGTCGGTAGGAGCGCCGTCTCGCGCGCGCGGCCGGTAGATCGCAGCACTCTGTGTGGGGTACAGGGCCCGGCCCCCGAGCCAGCCTTCCCGGGTCGGTGACGCGGTGCGGCGCCCCACAGCGTGGAGCTGATGCGGAAGACGCTGGACCCGGACCAGCTGGGTATTGTGCTGCGCGTGCCGTTCCTGGACGAGTTCTTCCCGGAGGGCGCCGCCGGCCGACAACCGGACGCCTTCACCGTGTACCACTGCAACGGCCTCATCCGCAGCAATCCGGATGGCAAGGTGCGTGCTCGGACAGGGGCTGGGGGGCGGGGGGGGGGGGGGAGGGGGGGGGGGGGGGCGGCGATCACACAATGTGTACGATGAAGGACCCGGGTACTCGACACGGAAAACCTGCTGTGAGCATGATCGAGACTAGATGCGCCAGCAACGATTGGGAAATATGCCATTGCCGCCCTGCGGGAAAGATGTGGCTTTGCCATTCTGGCTATGGCCGCCCGTACACATGCGACCCCCAGTGCCGTGGCTCTGTTCCAAAAATGGTGCTCTGAGAGCTTCGGAGCGGTAGGCGGCGAGGCAACCACGCGGAGACGAGCCCATGCTGAGCGCCGCCGTCGGTCTCTGACGCCTCGCGATCTGCCCCGGGGGCCGCCGCAGGTGAAGCTGGTCAAGGGCGACGCCTGCCTGCTGGAGACGGACGTGCAGAGCTCCACGTCGGCCAACACCATCCTGACCTGTCTGCAGAGCAAGTGGCCGCGGGTGGACGTGCGGTGGCACGGGCCGACCCCCTCCATCAACTGACGCCGCCCGACCGCCGGTCGGCTCGATCTCAGGGTAGCGCGCGCGGCTGCTCGAGGCGCGCCGGTGTCGCCGGCGCCGGGGCTGGTTCGCTGGGCGGTCACCAGGCGGCGCCACCGCTGTGGCTGGTCCGCAGAATGACCTCCTGCCGGAGCCACCGCCGGCCGCGCCGCTAGCTCAGGGTCTGTTCCTGCCCGTGGCTTCGTCGCCGCTTGGTCTTGCCGCCACCGCCGCTGCTGGTTCGCTCACCGATCATGTGACGGCGACGCCGCCGCTGTCGTTTCTCCTGTCGGCCGTGCGGCGGCGCCACCGCCGCCGAACACGGGAACCGGAAACGCCGACACTGCCTGTGATCACAGTATTCTTGCAACGCTAGTCGCACTGAACAGGATCTGACCACACCACCGCCAAGCGATGTAGACTGTTTGCTATTTACACTCCTTATCTGTATGTATTGCTTTTATTTTGTTGATTTCCCATCGATACGGCTCCGCGTGTTTAGATCAATATCGTATGCGTTTGTGCCTATCGCTGGTGCCCGCTCCAGTGCGGGTGTGTCCGACAGGAATCAGCAAGTTGATGCGACTCCCTGACCTGAAATTGTTTTATTTTTCATGAACTGATGCACACTGTCTAGCAAAATATAAGTCTTAGTACGAGGCAATATTCTGTTTTTCGTTTTCTGAACGCAGCATACGCGGAAGTGGATGTAAGATGAGGTTCTCGCGCTGTTTATCATTAAGAGTGTCTTTGGATCCTTACAGATGTAAGGTGTCTGAAGGGAGTCAAATCATGGACTATTGATAATCAAAAATCGAGACGCAGCAGACTGCTACCCGGCTTCGCTGCAAAGCTCAGACTTGCGAAAAGTACCCATGCTTTGCTAATTCGTTTCACCACTCGATAAACCTCTCATCAGATTGCGACTCCGTGCGATAGCCGCGATGCCAGGCAGCCGCGGTGCAGGGCTTGGCGTCCAAACGGTGCCGCGCCATGACTGCCTGATGACGCAATCCACATCGGGCGTTGCTTACACATGACACCCGGTAACCCTGAGCCCTCGGTGTGCGACCTTGAGGATTTTGTTATGCGGAACCATGCGGTCGCATGCAGACCATCTAGTGAGATCAACAATAGTTGACCGCTGAAAGGGACTGGGGACTCAAACAGTGTTGTTTAGTTGTAATTGTACTTAAATGAGAGAGGAATTATCATATAAAAGGTATTCTTTCAACCGCATCGAAACCAGAGCGTCTGCGCCGTTGCCACTTGTACTGTCTACGCTTTAGGACGTAATGAGATGCCAGCACTGGATGCTCGCCTATTGTCACTGTGTTTAGGCTAAAAGTTTACAGGACTATCACAACGTAAATATACAACTCCCGGCGAAGGGAAACATATCTCATGAGTTGGGAAGAGCATGAGGACATTACTTCAGCTTCTCACACCAAATAACTTCTTTGTTAAGCTCAACCTCGTTAATGAGCTCAGACTGAAGGCAGGGTGCGACTGTGAAAATGGAGAAGAGAGGCCAAATTGCTCCGAATTCCAGCCAGCGTCGCAATACCGGTCTGCATTCAAACTCCAACAGAGGAAGGTGGCTTATGTAAGCCATATCAGACATCATTTGTATGCGCGCGCTGCTCGATGCATTTTCATGAAGTTCGTTTAGGCTCCGATCATATCATTTGCACACGTTCCTTGACAGCGTGTTCTTGTTATAGACGAGCGGCACTCAACGATGCTAGTGATACAATACCACTTAGAGACTGGCAGTGTCATTTTATGCATCACATTTAGTCTGCTGCAGCCGTGGTCATATGTCTGATTGACTCGCTGTGCCAGTCAGACCAAGTGCCCCGCCCGGATTTGTTTGAATATGATATGAGACTGAGTGATTTTCGTCTGAAAGCGACGCCGGTATGAATGTTGTTATAGTAAGCACCGACGGTCAGCTATCAACAGACAAACGTGACTATCAGCGCAGCACGTCATGTTATTCGTTGTACTAGAACATGCTGTGCAAAGCAGTGACGTACCCTGTACACCACATGTCACCAGACTGATAAAGCGCAGCGCATCCTCCACGCTTGTATACACGGTATCTGCAGACGGAACTCTGCTCGGACTCGCAAAGTAACCCTCGCCCTGATTCGTCGCTTTTTCCGTAACGCGATCTGATGGGGGAGGTGGCGACGTCGATGCGGCTCCCTGGTATTTTCAAACTAATGCAGGTAGAGCTTAACGTAAAACACCGGTGGATTGGTCTCAACGACATCTCGCGATTGGTTCTAGTTTTGGTTCTGTTTGGTCAATGACTGATCCCATTATGTCAGGACCAAAGATCAAATATTCCCGAATATCGCACTTTTCAACTTTACAATATCATACATACGAGACCGTGCCTCGTGGCAACACAAGACCTAAACAGGCGTGTTTCTTAATCATTTCTGAATACAGTGGTTTGACATGAATATGGTGGAGAATGCCCATGAAATATGACTGTTAATGTAACAATGCCGGGCCGCCTTGCGCGTTCGGCGGGATCGTCGGTTGCCGCCCGCTGCTCGCGCCGGCCGTAGATCACCGTGCAGTGTTCCTCAACAAGGCGCCGCTGCTCACAACCCGAAAAGCTAGTACACGTTTTCAGTCTTGAAACACGCTTTATGGATGCCCATAGGCTACTAAGAATGCGGGCGCGTTTGTACTCATGCCGGAGAGGCATCCTCAAAAAACCTCCGCTGGGAGAGGGGGTCGCATCGACTCTCCTATCAGGGCGCTGGTTAAGTCTCATTTGAAGTCTGGCACCGATGGCGACGCACCCTCTGCAACCATCCGTACACCAGTCTCTCAGACAAGTGCACACAACAGGATAGGCGTAGGTGACGGGTGGGGACAGCATTCATTTCACCAAGGTTGTAAGGAGGCCGATTTTTGGTTTAATATCCGAGGGTTCGGTTTGGGTTCAATATCCGAAGGGCAACATTCGTGTTTTCCTTGTGCGCAGAGGAGTACTCAGAGGAGCAAATAAGTAGGAGATAGTGCTATGCTTTATCGCGAGTGAGGCAGCACGTAGAATGTAAACGTGGGTGTGAGAATGCCAGCGCCGCTTTGCACACATAATTCGAGCTAAGTAAACGTAATCACCCTGACAAAAAGCGGCGTGCAGTTTGCTACATGCCCGGTGCACGTCCTCTGCCGGTCTCCGATACTAGTCAGGCTTGCAACAGAGGCACGCAAAAAGTGACATGCAGACTGCTCATTGGTAAGATGTACACGAATGGCTAGTTGGTTTGCGTGAATAAGACATTGTATCGCATTGCTGCATGTCGGTATCAATGCAATCCGAACTGGGCGCAATGAAAGGGCAATTTCAGCAAGATGATCACGTAAAATAATGTTCATCCCTGCGAACCTGCACCTGACGTCGAAGCGGACACAATCTCTGCTACGATTTTACGACACATGAAACGCAACGACCGCGCATGCGCTAGTCTGGCTTGTGTGCAAGCTGCTCTCACCAGTAGCATGGCATGTGATTAATTCCTAGGAGTTATCAAACATTTTGTAACGCGCTGCCATATCGCCAGACGGTCTTTCAGTGGCTTTGGTGGAACTTTCTTGCGTCAATCAGTGACGTTTTGTGATTAACCGTCGAATCACAACTGTGTTCATCAATGGCGCATTAAGCCAAAAGAGGAGATGTTAGAAATCATCCTCCCTTTACTAAAGCGGACGGGTTAGTGCCCCCCCCCCCCCCACACCCAGCGGACGGTCTATGGCCTTACTTTGAGGAGCTTCATTTGGTTCCGGAGGCCCCCTGACGAATCTTGCCCTCTCACTCAACATCAGTGGCACGGCCCCTGCCGGGCGGTGAAGCATATGGCCAGATGCAAAACTGATAATATACAACAGGCATTTGGACATTACACTGGGCAGTATGAAATGCGCCACGTCTAGCGTCCTCGTACGAGAACATGTAGGGGATGCCTGAAGGAAGTCATATTTTGCACCAAGCCTGGCTGGGCTCTAACAAATGAATTGCCAATTGGCAAGTCCCTCAGATGACATGACTGACGAAAAATGCTAATGATTACCTATGGCCTTACTGTGAGGCCACAATATCGCCACCTGCCTGAAGGCAGTTCGGGCCACAGCGCCACTCGGTTACGCGCCCATTTTCTGTCTGAGCTTTAATGTCTGTTGAAAATGATGCAGTGCATCACGAGTCGATAGTCAGTGGCGATTGGTCTAGTATCCACACTGATGGTTACGCTTTTTTCGAGCGGATGTGCAAACCTTATCGACATGCAATATATCGATTATGGCTGCTTATCGACAGCAATCATTATCGACATGCAACCCCATTATCGACATAACCAGCGGCAAATATAAGTGCTGGTGTCAACGATTGCATAGCATCATAAATCTCAATCATCATTCCTCAAACATACCTAGTCCTACTCAACGAGATGAGCGCGCGCTCCGAAGTCTTACCGAATCAAACCGGTCTGTGGGGGGCGCAAAATAAGCACCAGCCCAATGATTTGGCTTTGTCCACCTATCGTTGACAAGCAGATAGTCGATAGCGCGGTATGAGAGATGAAGCTCGCTGAGACGCCCAGCGCCCTCATATCAAGACGGCACGCTTGAAGCGCGCTGTGTGCACCAGCCAAGCACACAACCAAGGATGCTCTCAGTGGTTTACTGGCTCGAATACAACGCACTGCGCCACATTTTGGTGGGATTGCATGACTTGGGATTAGTTAGGAGTTATATGTGAACCGTAGGCAACAGCAGACCGAACAGACTTGTGCGTTATACACTGGGCTCGTAAAGCAATGTTTCGTTCGGCCCGGGGGCAATATGCCCGATTCCCCAACGCAAAGAAGTGGACGTTTGAACAAAACGAACCTTGACGATTGTACCCGGATTTACTCGGGAGAAAGCGATGAGAACAACCTGCTAGGAAGGATGGAAGAGCACTTAGCCTAGGCCACCATTCAGGGCTTGAATGCACATAAACAAATTTTATGGCAGAGCGCAGAGACCACACAACTTGCAATGAATAGACGAAACATTTGATGTAAGCAAAAAAAGCTTTGAGCCATTGGTTTTTCCACAATTTTAGTTTACAGTGCTCATTCTGGCAATGATCCGCTCTCAACACGAACATTGCACTGCACTGCGCGGCTTGCGCTCCTCGTATTCTATCATCGTGTGTGTGTGTGTGTGTGTGTGTGTGTGTGTGTGTGTGTGTGTGTGTGTGTGTGTGTGTGTGTGGTGTGTGTGTGTGTGTGTGTGTGTGTGTGTGTGTGTGTGTGTGTGTGTGTGTGTGTGTGTGTGTGTGTGTGTGTGTGGTGTGTGGTGTGTGTGTGTGTGTGTGTGTGTGCGTGTGTGTGGTGTGTGTGAGTGTGTCATTGGGGCTTTACGACGCACTCAGCTGCTGAGGCTACATCACCTCGCCTGCCCCTCACCCTGGCAGGAAGGGCGGGTACCGCGAGGAATCGAACCCCGTACATCTGGTTTCCCAGACACGCAGTGGTTAACGCAAACGCGTTAACCGCTACACTACCGGCACCCCTTCTATTATCGTAGTTTTGAGCTCTCGGTGTACAGTATAGCCAACGTGGCGTGCACTCGAACTGACTGTGATATGTACTTCAGTATTGTAATCCGGAATGCGAAGATGGATTGAAGGTCTCGAAATCTACGGCAGCTTCTGAAGCATGGTGACAACGACAATTGGAGCCATTGTAATGCCACTTAGCCAATACTCTTCATATATTTGAGGTAGATTTTTGCCAGAATAAGAACCCCCAACTCACAATAGACGAAGGCAGCTTGCTTTTACACGTGCACCAGGTCAAGGCAGGAACAAGGCAGAAGGGAAGAAAGATAAAATAATACATTTTTATCCAGATCACAAATAGTCCAAAATCCAATTCAATATCAGCCGGCCCTTTTCAAATCGATTAAATGGCTGCACATGAGTGACTCATTATTCAAACAGGACGGAAAACTTGTGTTTTATTCCTGTTCGGTGGGTTCAGTGCGTGCAACCAGTGGCCCATCCAGGGTTTTGCTGAGCGGTGGGGTTAGGCCTCCGGGTGGGGCCCGCCAACCTCATGGGGGAGCATACTGGCTTTACATTGCTGTTGCTTGCTTGCACTGATGGCAGCCTGCAACGTTGCAAGTTCGAGTCTGGATGTAAGAAATTTTGCGTTCTCGGCAACACATGAGGTCAATCCTGTTCTCTGCGTTCTCTGCAACAACACAGACCACTTCTATGTAAGCCATTAAAATGTAAGAACTTCAGGGACATGGGCAACAGCATGACGCCGAAAGCGGCAACGAGAAAAAGTAAGAGGCGCTAATAAAAGAGCCAGTAAAAAGTAAAGGCTCCTCAGCGCTATGCAAGGGGACCCCATACCCTGCCCAGAAGGAACCTGTTCCAGGTTAAGGGCAAGAGCTCCACATCCCTTGCCCCCGTGGACGCGTCATTGGCCCATGCGTAATTTTGGAAGCGAACCAGAGATGGCCTAGACGTCGATTGGAGACATTTAACTTTTAGTCATCTTCTGGATTTTACACTACGCATGGATAATAGCATTGCAAATTAGAGTACCCGAAGCGACAAACTGCAACAGTGTCTATACGTGAGATTTCTTGATAACCACCATATGCATATAACTAATATGGCCACTTTCAGTGTAACAGGATTCCGGTATTTAATAGCGATCTTATTCAGGGCGGCTTACGAAATGTTATGCTCTGTCACCTCCACACACCAACAAGTGAAAATGCACCTTCAAACATGGGTTATGTGTGTGGGGATGATAAAAGTTGTCCGGCAAAGAGAATTTTGTGTGAGCTGCTGGGGAGAAAAAAGTACAGTGTATGTATGTAGAAGTGCAGCGTATGCACGATGATGCACAGGTGTTGGTCTTGCATGACGGCCATGCCATTCTGGACATGTGTGTGATGATTCGATGTTCATACTTAATTACCTCCCCCCCAAAAAATAACCGATATCAATACAAAACACAGACGTAAAAACATGTAATCCATCGCGGGCAATGTGAAGGGTGGTCAAACGAACATGGTCCTCTGGTGTAACTGATTGATTTGGTGTCGGACGTTAGAAACGCCATGTTGCAGACACTCTGCAAGAGAGAATCACCAAGTTACCCGCTTCTGTGACATTTTTCGTCTCTATTCGCCCACTCTGCTCCACATATTCAGAAACTGATTGGGAAGAAATACCAGAAAGATGAAGAAACATTTAACTATTACAGCCTGTTCTGATTCAGAGTTTGTGTGAACTAAATGCGAATTCTAATTTCATACGGCGACTTTTCCGAGCGAACTTAACATGAGCATGTCAAGCATTGCCACTTTAACGTTCTACCTTCCATTGCAACGCTTAAGACCCAAACACTATCTAACACAAAACACTATCATTATGGACTGCCGCTGTCGCACACCGGCCTGTCGTAGAGTCTAAAGTCAAAGTAAAACTTCGCAGAATATTACAAAAGCATTATTCAACAATACGTCAAATGGGTCAGGAGCACACCGCGCAACGTTCTGCAAATTTAACGTTGAAAAGTTGTGAAGGGAAGCCGAGTTCATTCATTTGTGTATGTAGAACAAGGCAGAACATGTGGTCGTCGACTATTATCGTGACAATTGGTGCTCAATTTGCGGGTAACTATGGCATGGGTTATATTAACAGTTTGTACGGATAAAATCGTTGAATGTGGACGTTTTCTGCACAGTCCGAGGTCACCCAAAAGGCAAAACATCACGCAAACATTTAAATGAAACGTGAAATTTCCGTTGACGAGATCTCATATAAGTTGGGTGCAAATCGGCTCAATTGTCCCCAGTTCTCGTGTCATTCCTCCTGCTTTTATGCAACCAATGCTAAAAGCACTTGACTGATAATTCTATTGAATATGTGCCCTACTTACGCAGCATTCAAATGGCATTCATTACGGGCATACTAGAAAATCTCGCGGTTTTTTGCAATCCTGTATGGGTGGTGGATGACAACAGAAAATGGATGGAAAAGACACAGCACTTAATTATAACTTACCAAAGGATTGAAGCTCTGAAGGAACACAGCTATCCGTCGGTCAGTAGCGAGTCTTCAAGTGATCAACAGGAAACGGTTTGCAACAATTCGAAGGACAATACACTTCGAAGTAATGATGCTTGCACGCACGGAACCACGATCAGTGAATGGAGCGAGGAGCATAAGGATATAACCAATACTTCATTGGATCCGGCGGACATGAAATGCCCGTCTGAAGACAAGAATCCTGGCTCAAGTGCTTGGCAATCAAGTGGCGTTTCTCCTCACCTGGTCTCGCCCAGTTCCGATATTTCGCCCTGGTAAGTCTTTCCTCATGTGTGGAAAGCAAGGCATCGTCGATTACACCGAATGTGCCCGGCTACAAGGACATTGGCAGTACCTTTTGTCTAAATTAATGTGATGTATATAGTGCATTTTGCACTCAAGTCGTAGGTCTTTCCTTAAATTTAGTAATGCATATTATTTTGATTTTTCTGATATGCTTTAAAAAATGTTGTGAATATTGATGCGCAATGCCATTTGGGCCTACCGATTCTATGCTGGGCATATTTTGCATTATGGGGCGTAAGGAGGTTGGACGAAAATCACCTGTCATCGGTTTCGCTGAACGAGAACACCACGCTTCAATATGCCCGATATCATTATGACCCGCACTCAGTGATGTGCTCTCTTCATTAAGTTTTATCTGTAGTTAGCCAGTATTTTGACAAAGTGAATTTGAACGGAGATAATGTAACTGTATATAAATGTGTATGATAGTGCCACGCATGTAAATGTGTTTTCAGCAACAGTCAAAAATCTCCCTCACCAGAATTGATGTTGACTGATGCACACCTTCAACCCAGTCCAAAGAAGTATCATCTTTTCGATTGCCCACAATGGCTTGATTTCCCAAAACAGGATTCGTTTGCGTAAGTACCATCTTGACGGTTGTGACTTTCGGATCTTCTAATGAGAGCGTAATCTTATTCACAATGATCATAAAATGCACATCCAGCTCTGTACGACTGCGGCATATATATATATATATATATATATATATATACATATATATATATATATATATATATATATGTATATATATGTAATATGTATATACACGTGTGTGCGTGTGCGCGTGTATGTTTGTGTGCGTTCATGCGTGCGTGCGTGCGTGCGTGCTTGCGTGTTTGCGTGCTTGCGCGCACCCGCGCGTGTGTATGTGCATGCGTGCCCCCGGCGTATGTCCATGATGCCGATGTTCATCCCCTGCGTATGTCGATGAATGCCGATGTTCAGCCCCTGCCGTGTGTCGATAAATGCCGATGTTCAGCCCCTGCGTATGTCGATGAATGCCGATGTTCAGTCCCTGGCATGTGCCGATGAGTGATGCCAGTGCGTCAGCTTCGCCACTGTCGTTTTGTCGGCTTTTCTGCCGTTTTGTTTGCCTACTTTGCGTGTGACGCGACAAACCGCCAGTGTTCCTAAGGTGTATTGGTTTGGTTAATCAGTTAGTCGTGCCGCCTTGAAAGACGCGGTGTTTATGAGGGCCACGTCCAACTCGTTACAACAGAACGATAAAGACACACTGTGGCTTATTGGAACTGGTTTGCTAAGACATTAATGCGTGCTCGATATGCGTGAAAAGTTATGATCTGAAATGGGCACTCATTTTTATGGCAAGTGCATTCCGCGTGCTGCGGCTATTAGACGTCCAAGTAAAGCATCACCGGGAAAACAACAAAACCTTAATGGGCACCCGTTCTCCTTGACGTTGACGTTCCAGTAACAGCAGCTTGAGCGGGCTGCAAATCACTCAACTCCGTTAAACATCCTTACTTCCGTTAAGAACAAGGCGTACAGGTCAGCCAACAGCTGCCTAAGAAAAGACAACTTTCTAAAGCGAACAACCCTTCCCATATGGATGTAGTTTTGTCGCGATCCAGACAAAGCTACAGCGGCTGATTTGAAGGAGCGGGGGGGGGGGGGGGTCAGTGAATTACCAAGAGGCTAAACCACAGAACATATGTACCTGCCTTTTCCGTGACTGAAACGGTTATCACCAGGGCCGTATGCGGGAATTGCTAATGGACGGACAGAGGTCCTCAAGGAAATCTCGAAAGCATTTCATGAAGCATGAATGTAAAGAAACACAACATTTCCGAGAAGCGAAACATTAAAACGATACGCGGCGAACAAATTCGATGCTCAAAGCATTCAGACAACATAACATGCTTTATTTTAATCAGTTAAAAAACTGTACATGGTACGCATTTTGATCATTGTTTATATGTGACATTCTTGTTAACATATAAATCACGGGTAAGTAAAGGTTTGCCGAGGGGAGATAGAGCCGTTATCATCGGTACTTAGATTTTTTTTGTATTGCTCTGCCACCCAACAAATCCGTATGAACTATTATTTTCACTGGCAAATGCAACCATTGATGCCAAACGTACAAATGCAATGCATCTATCATGGTATGCGGGGACATGCCAAACATGGGCATGAGCCATGCACCCATAAACGAAGTTTTTACACCATTCGTAAATATCTGTTCCTTGATTAGATATTGTCATGCATCCGACATTTTTTCATGACTGGCCCTAAGTCAAGGCTTCCTCAGTCGCACCATGACGCTTCAGGACTTAACTGCGCTCATTATGAGTCCTTTTTGATGGTGTACCCGCAAACAAGCTTCAACACACATGTCCCCACAACCCAAAGAATGTGAATGGGTGTATGTGTATGTGTGCGCGCGCGTGTGTGTGTGTGTGTGCCCCTGGCGTATGTCCATACGCCAGTCCCTGCGTATGTCCATGATGCCGATGTTCATCCCCTGCGTGCGTCGATGAATGCCGATGTTCAGCCCCTGCCGTATGTCGATGAATGCCGATGTTCATCCCCTGCGTGCGTCGATGAATGCCGATGTTCATCCCCTGCGTGCGTCGATGAATGCCGATGTTCATCCCCTGCGTGCGTCGATGAATGCCGATGTTCAGCCCCTGCCGTGTGTCGATGAATGCCGATGTTCAGCTCCTGCCGTGTGCCGATGAGTGCCGATGTCTAGTCCCTGGCGTATGCCGATGAGTGCCGATGTCCAGTCCCTGGCCTATGCCGACGAGTGCCGATGTTCAGCCCCTGCCGTGTGCCGATGAGTGCCGATGTTCAGTCCCTGGCATGTGCCGATGAGTGAGTGTGTGTTGTAAACATAGGGCGGCAAACCACCCTATCCACAAAGCTCACGACCACATATTCCTACACCATGACCGGACCGAAAGTACATGGGTCCGTGGTCTATCCAAACAAACGCCGTCTGAGTCCTGGAGGCCATTCTGCTCAGGAGAAAGACGTGTGTATATATAGTCTTGACAAATTACTTATGTGGTGCACCACACTGAACCTGTTCCACCCTGCTTTGAGGCTAGGGGGATTGGCCTGTGTCTGGAGTTCCGCATGGAGTGAGATCGGGAAACACACTGAATGGGAGTGCTTTGCACTTTGACCTGGTGTTTCTAGGCGTGACCTGTCAAATACCACGCAGTACCCGTCTCACATTTTACGCATCATATATAAGGATATATATATATATATATATATATATATATATATATACTGGTCACAATGATAATTCATACGTTATACACTATCGAGATATTGGTTCTCGATTTCTGCTACGCCAGTTTAAGGAACTTGACAATCCATTTGGAAGCCACATCGATCGTGCCTGGTGTGATATGAGCATCGTTTTGCAACCCCAGTGATGTGGCCAGGACCCCAGCCGAATGGCTGCAAACAAGGTCCGGCCTGTGCAGGACCGAGCCCTGCAGAAACGATCCAGCTGCGTGGGCCAGCTGGATGCTTGGACAACATCAGCCGGCTGACAGCGATGACCAGTTCGTCCGGAAACAGAAAAACCTCGGCGCCGAAATCGCCGGTTCGTGCAAGCTGTATGAGCGCTCCACAGCTTTCTTTGATAGCTTTCTTTGATAGGCTTTCAATCTTAAAGACATACAGATACCAATGGGTTTGTTGGTTAGTCTAAACGGTCCCAGGGATATCGTCAGACAAACCTGAGGTTTAATCAGATAAATCATCCACTTACCTGAAGTCGGTCTGGGCTGAAAACCGATTGGCAAGCTGTGCAAAGCCCGATGTTCTCGGTCGGCTTTCAGTTCAAGTAAAGGCCACATTTACATTAAAAAGGTCCGTTATTTTTCGAAGGAGCTGATTTCAAAATGGTGTCATAGACCGTTTACGGGCACCCTCCGTTTGTGGACACTAGTTAGAGCTGAGGGGAGGCTGTTGATCAGTTGCAGAAGGCCGTCCGAGACCCAAAATTCGCAATAAGGAAACCTTACATGATGTTGTGGTTGCCCTATCAATGCTTTCATCGTAATGCTGAAAATGTGAAACACTTTACGCACCTTTGTCAAACAGTGAGCAACACGAGCTCGTGCGGCGCCAACGATTACGAACATAAAGTAATAACAATAAAGAAAAGACAGAGAGCGAGAGCGAAAGAGAGTGAGAGAGAGAAAAAAAGAGAGGGAGAGAGATAGAGAGAGGGAGAGAGAGAGAGAGAGGCTTCATGCATGCCATTGCCATGAACATCAAAGTTGCGAATAGGCCTTACTGTTTAAGTTAACGCGCTTGGTTTATTGAGCTAAAGGAATCTGAGAAGTCACTGGCTGGTCTAAACGAACCAGATCAGACTGGAAATCATTGCACTCCTTAGATTTACAGATAGTTCGTTTCCTTTGACCATCCGCTCTGACCGAATAAAATGCCAATGACGAGTGGATGCCTCAAGTCTTTTTGCTAAGCGCGGTGGTAACAGCTGCACATTCGGCGATGGCTCAACGTCGCGTTTGGAAAATGACAGGGGTCTATGCAGGGGTTTTCGTGTGAGGGAGGGAGGGGGAGAAGGCAAGGGATGGCCAAATGCTATACCGGTCAGGAGTCCAGACCGCCATTTATCGTTGAACACGGCACGTCCAGGTGCGCTATCACAGCCGGTGACGAGCAAGGAGCTGCAGGTCATCTCGGGAATGGCGCTGAAGCGGCCGACCGGCGCCGAGCGCCAGCTACTGCGAGCTGTGCAGGCGGCTAAGGTTCGTCAGCTGTGGCAGCCGCCGGACGGAGCGCGAGCCGCCGACGCCGCGCCCGACGTGACCGTACGCGGCCGTGGCGGCCAGCCGGGAGGGCGCCACCTGGGCGGCGGAGGGCGCCGCCCGCCCGGGCCGCAGCCACAGGCGCCTGGACGGGGCGCCTCCCGGCCGCTGGACGGCCTCTGCGGGCAAGCGGGCGCTGGCGGCGGCGCGTTCACCGCGCCGGACGCGGCGGACAGCGCGGTCGCGTCTGGCCCGGCCGGCGTCGACGGCTTTCTGCCGTCCAGCTACACAGCGGCGGCCACGTACGCGAGCCCGGCACCGCTGTCCGCGCTGCCGGCCGCCTCGCAGGCGGCCGGCCAGCCTCGGCTCGCAGCTGGTGGTCATGTCGCAGGGCCCGCTGGTGGTGTCGGCGACAGCGGCGCCCGGCGGGGCGGTTCGCGCTGCCGACGGCGGCGGCAGGGGCGGCGCGGCCCACCAGCCGCCCCGGGGTGGCCCGTGGCCGGCCGTCACCGAGCGGCAGAGCAGCTGGTGTCCGGCTGGCTGGCAGTTCAGTCCACAGCCGGGCTGCGGACCGTCCCAGTACCTGACGCAGCAGCAGAACGGCGTCCCACAGTTTCACCAGCAGAAGGGCGGCGCGACGGCGCAGTTTCCGCAGCAGAAGGGCAGTGGGCCTTCGCAGTACCCGCCTTTGCAGAGCGGCTCGCTGTCTCACTACCCACCGAGTAAGAGCGGCGGTCCGGGTCATTACCAGCAGAAGGGCGGTAGCTTCCTGACCTTCCCGAGCTGCTCAGCCCAGTGTCCCCTGCAGACGAACGTCGCCTCCCAGATGGCGCACCCACGCGACCAGCAGGCGCACGGCAAGGCACACAAGGCATTCTGTCAGAGGGGCGCCGGGAGGGCGGCGCCGTCGCGGCCCGCCATCCGCCACTCCAGCTCCGACACGAGCCTGCGCGCCGCGGACCGGACCATGGCACTCGCCACCGCGCCGGCCGCCGACCGCGACCGCGACCGGACGCCTACGGGCAGTCCAAAGGCGGCGGCGCCGCCTTGCTGCGGCCGCAGCACGTTCGAGGACTTTCTGCACCTGCTGGGCGTTGTCGGACTGGCAACAACCACGGACCTCGTGGAGGCTGTGGCGCATTGGCCAGGTGGGTGGCTCGAGCGGGCCGCCGGCCACCGAGCGCAGCCCGCGCTCGGACACGCCGACGCCGACGGCGGCCGCCTCGACGCCGCGCGAGCCGGCGCCGGTCGCGGCCCCGTTGCGGCGCACCAAAAGCCTCGGCAGCCTGCCCTCGGCACCTGGCCGCCACCAGTCGGTCAGTTCGAGCTCGTCACGCGACAGCGTCACGCGCCGTTACGACGAGCTCGAGTTCCTCGCCATCGAACAGTATGAATCGTCTGACAGCCTGAGCCGGCGCTTCTCGGACCTGGAGCGGCAGGCGCTGGAGCAGTACGCGCTCATCTCGCAGCAGGCCAGCCGCGAGGCGCTGGCGGCGGCCAGCAGCCAGCGCGCCGCCGTACACGGCCGCCGCCGCAGCGGCAGCAGCCGCCGCTGCAGCCGCCGCGGCCGCCGCCCCGCCGCCGGCCGTGAGCGCCGGTCAGCGCGGCGGCGGCTCGAGCCGCTCCGGCACCGGCGGGAAGTCGCGCCAAGCGCCGGGGCAAGAAGAAGGCCCGCGAGCTGGTGGTGAACACGTGCATGCCGTCGGGCACAGCATGGCGAACGTCCGCTAGCTCCGGGTCGTCGAACGCCGGCGGCGGCCCCGCCTGGCCGTCGGTCGACGACAAACCGCCGGCACGAGCGTGGGGCGGTCCGACGCCCTGCCTGCCGCTGGGGGACCCCGGACCCTCGCCGGCGTCCGCCACCGCAGCGTATCCGGCGCTGCCGACGCTGGACGCGGCCAAGGCGGCGGCGTTCTGCGCCGGGTACCCGGCCGTGCCAACGGAACATAACCAGGCCTTCCCGGCGCCGCAGGCGGGCGTTGGCGCCCTGCCGCCGCCGCCGCCGCCGCCGCCGCCGCCGCCCTTCGCCGGCGAGTCGGCGCGGCCCGCGCTGCCGGCCGGTCTGCTCAACATCGGCCCGCTGGGGCCACAGGCGTGCCGGCAGGCGCTGGCGCAGGCAGTGCGCCTGCCCGGCGCGCCGCTCCTCTGGCCGGCCGGGCTCGCGGCGGCGGCGGCGGCGCGGCGCGAGGCCGGCCTCCGCCCGGACGCGGCCGCCGACGACGCCGAGGCTTCCTGCGCCGTGCAGTGAACTCGACCAGGGCCGGCTTTCGCGAACGCGAACGCGCTGTGCGCCGCCAGATTGAGGCTGCTGTGTTGATGTGGATGTAGTAGCACGGTGGACACTCTCCGCTGGTGTGCGATGGACGGTGGGGTTATCTCACCAATAAATTAGGAGATGTTTGCTTCGTGGCTCTGCCGTCATGGATCCCATGTGGTGGAATGGTTGCTGGCGATCGGTGGAGAAGTCTTGCTGTTTGGGAGGTGTTGGCATGGACACAAGATTGGAAAGCTGCCAGCTTCGTCGTGATAGCATGTTGAAATAATAGAACACGAAGTCGTTCACGACTCACGCTCACGGCTGTCATTAAGTCACCAACAATGGAGGTGCAAATGTGTTTGTGCAATGCAGATAAAAGCGTTAATTTGCCTGGTTTAATCACCTGCATGTTGAAATACACTGTGCATCATAGTGCGCGTTTGTTAAATTTCTTCATGTGTCGGTCGTCGTGAACAAATAATGAATGCCAAGCATGCGTTCACAGTCGTTTTTGCTCCAACGATGCCCC